CACTACATGCTAAACTTGTCAGCTATTGACAATGTTTTCATTGCCTTCGTTTCTTCATTTATTTTAAGAATAGCTTATAGGTTCATTGAATTCTTATCATATTAAAACATTTTTTAAAGAATTTATATTGTTAGCATATATTGCAACAGAAACTTCTCAGATAGCTGAAGGTGATAACTCAGTCGCAAGATCCTTCTGATGAAGGGAAAAGGTTAGAAAGTGGGTGAAATGTAGGCAGAATTCAAATTTGAATTTCTATGAATTAACCTAAGTTAAAACAGACTGAGATGTTTTTCTTTTAAAATGCATATATCAAAATGACGAGAAATTGTAAAGTCTAAATTTCTATTAATTTTCTCTAGATGGTTACTTATTTTTTTAATATGAAATCATTATGTGATAAGGGAAAATAGTCTCCAGGAAATTCTACAAGACCCTAATGCTCCCCAAAGAGATCAGGTACTCTGAGATGCTCGATAACAAATGATTCAACAGACCATGCAAAAATATGTGAGTCCTTTAGTTTACAGACTTTTGTTCTTGGTCAGTTCGTTCTGTATTTTCCTGGGTCTAGGACTTGAGCTGCATTAGCAGGCATTACACGAGGGAATAGAAACAGCACCTTCTAGGAAAGAGCTAATCTTTTTTTCTCAATTTGTGCCCATTAACTATATTCAATTAGAATATTTTTAAAAGTTGATGCAGTGATATTGATCAGGGATAGTGTATTTCCAGTGGAAAACAATATAACCAAAAATGAACACTAATTTTAGTATTAGAAATTCTTGTCTGCTGCTGATGTTTACTATGATGTTTACTATGTTTACTATGAACATCTACTAACCTGCCCATTCCTCAGTTTCTGTATCTTTACTCTGTACTTTACTCAGTTTCTGTATCTTTACATATCACTGATATACACAAAAATTATTTTTTAAAATGCCAAACAGGGCCTCCCTGGTGGCGTAAGGGATTGAGACACAACCTATGAAGCTGTTCACAGCTTCTGCAGCATGAGTTCGATCCTGGCCAGCAGGAGAGCAACCCACATGGTGCAGCAGACCTCTCCTATCTCGACCGCTGATCCCCTCAGCAATGTATTTCAGTCAGTCTGACTGTTCTGCTCCCCATTCTGTCTCTGGTGAATCCCCTCACCCCCCCACACCTCTGACCTGTACCACAGTTCTTGTATGAATAAATAAATAAATCTTAAAAAAATAAAATAAAATGCCAAACAAATACACATTTCATTATTGCCCCTATCCAAGTCCACAAATAGTAGCCCTAAGCACTGTGATTTACAAGTGAATAAAACTCAGATTTTGTTTTTCTGCTGGTTGCAGCATTGACAAAGAATAAGAAAAATCTTAAAAGAGGCCTTCCTGGAAGCTCCCCTGGCTATCACCAAAGGGGAAACCTTTGGCTTGCTTTTATTGCACAGTCTTGACCACAAAACATAGCAGTTAAAGGTTACTGTGATTTACATTTCTTTGTCTTTGCTGTTGTTTGGGCATGGGGCGCCTCTCAGCTGGACATGTAAGCCACACAGCCAAGGACAGGTTGGCACAGGAAAGCCAATCCATTTAAAACATTCATATGGAGAATTTACATTTTTGTAAATTCTAATAACCGCTGGGACAAACTGGCAATAGTTATTCTGTTTATAAACCTCAGGCATATGGGAGCGAGAGGGAACATCCCCATGACCATGACAGACAGGATGGCGGTGACCTCACTGTAGGGTAAGTGATGGACAGGCTTCTCTGCCCTCCCGCCATCAGGATTGATGCTGGATCCCTGCGGTCCTGCATGCAGGCCTGATGGCGGCCACCTGGAGTGGGGTGTGGGCGTGGGTAGCTGGGTTCACCAGGGCTGAGAGACTGGGCTTTTAAGGGCGGCGTTGCAGGGGACAGAACTAGCAGGAGGAGAATAGGAAGAGAACCAGCAGAAAAGCAGAGGCCACGAGAGAACACCGGAGAGCCCAGAGAGAGTAAAGATTCCCTGCGGGCCTCCTGGCCCCCAGTACCCCTGCCTGCCCTGGACCTGGTAAATCCCAATAAAAGCCTGCAAACCCCCCCGAGGGCTCCTGGGACTCTTGCTTCCCCGTCTGCATAGAATCACAGAGATCTTGCACTGACCCTTCCTGCCACCAAGAGGGACCTTGCTGCTCTCCACTCAAAAACAATTTCATTCTTTAAGAAATGGTACTAGAGTTCCCAAAACGCACAGGACCTCTGTTGGCACCTAGTTCCCATTGCAAGGTGACAAGAAGCCTGTGTTTTATCAGGTTTATCTGGAATTAACTACCATAAAACAGGAAAATTTCACTTATGATTCAAGCCAAATGTTTATAACCACAATACGAATTTATTGCAGAGAATCTACATTATAATAATATAAACATATAATTCAATCGGCAGCAAAAGGAAGAAGGTAACAAACCTCTTGGGGAAAACTGGGAGAGATAAGCGCAGGGAATGGGCCTGGCTCAGTCTGGAGAGTTGCTGGTAACATCTGTCTGAAGGGCCACATCGCCTGGGGCTCTTGCCAGGAGAAAGTTTTAAGAGTGTGAGCATGAGGTCCATACACATCTCAAAATGTCTCAAATTCAGTACAGATATTTATAACATTTTTGAGAGGCATATTATCAGGACTACCTGCAATTCTGATTTAGGCAGGGTCTCTCTACATAGCCAGGTTATTATCTGCCCTTTCCTTTTGCGTGTCTGTTTATTAGTGTCATATTAGACAAGTATTTGCCTTATAATTAACAACTTAAGTTGCTATCAATTGCCCCCACAATCCCATCAGTCAGAGTCATTACAAATTCAGCATGTTTTCAATAATCCAGATCATTAATTAATCCATATATATGATAGCCTGCACTGGGCATATTGAGGAAAGCCTATCTGACTGTTTTTGAGAGGTCAAACTCACAATTACAAAGCATCCACTTTGTGCCAGGCTGTGTGTGAGCACTTATGACTATTCTATATTTTTTAATCCTCACAACACCCTTGTAAGACAAAGGTCACTGTTGAACAGATGATTAAATTGAACCTTAGAGAATTATGTAACATGTTCAAGTTACAGAGCCAGAAAGACACAGAGAGGGATTTAAACTTATTCTGGGGCCTCCCCTGGTGGCGCAGGTGGTTGAGCGCAGCACTGTGAAGCTGTCCGCAGCCTCTGCAGCTTGGGTTCGATCCCGGCTGGCCTGCGAGGGTCCCACATGGCGCTGCAGACCTCTCCTGTCTCCCCGCTGCTCCCCTCAGCATTTTACTCAGTCTGCCTGTTCTGATTCCCACTCTGTCTCTGGTGAATCCTCTCACCCTCCCTCACATCTGGTCTGTATCTCAGCTCTTGTATAAATAAATAAAGAAATCTTAAAAAATAATAATAATAAACTTATTCTGCTCATAAGAGGAAAATAAAAGAATGAAAATCTAACTATAACCTATTTAATAATCATTAAAGCACCTGTTAGTGAACTCTCATAGTGGGTGAATAGCCGAGTTACAGTACAAGAGAACACTTTGAAGTCAATTTTATGGTAATAGAATCAATCAGGTAAGTAACTCCCTTTCCACCTATGGAGTTAACTTGCAGAAGTAGGTTTGGACTGACTTGTGGACTGGGTCCTTCAAATTCTCCTTCCCCTAAGTACGCCTCCATTTCTATGATATGTTGCACAAGATACCTGCACGAGATAGAGGGTGATAGGAATTTGGAAGAGAAAGATTAATTTTAGCATCTGTGATTAGATTTGTGTTAGTAGGGTTAAAGAGGAAAAGAAAAGAGAAGGGGCAACTATAGTTTAATTGGAGAGTTTAGCTCTTTCATTCATTAAACAATTATTTAATGGGAACCTATCATATATCAGGCACTGTTCTAGGCATTGAGTCATGAGAAAACTAGAAATAAGAAAATATTCCCACTCTACAGCATTTAAATTTTAATGAGTGAATAAGAGAGACCTACAATAAATAAGTAAATATATGTCATTTTATAAATGGTGGTAAAGAGGTAAAAATTAATTCAGAAAAGGAGATAGGGAATTTGTGAGAGAGTGGGGTAGAGATTAGATATAGTAAGATGTCAAGATAAGGTCTCAAAGAAAGGGCGGTAAAAACCTGAGTAAAAACCTGAATTGAGGAGGAAGCAGGCTCTGAAGAGCACTGAGACATAGGGTTCTAGGTAGGGAAAAAAACAAAATAGCAAAAACTAATCCTGGAGTTAGGTGCACGTCTGACCTGCTTAAAGATAACAAAGGAGGTCAGTCTGACCGGGAAGAAATAAATGAAATGGAGAGTATCAGGATATAGAATCGGAATGAAAATGGGTGGAGCACCATGTGCCAAGATGTAAGATTTTTGACTTTTATTTTCAATACTAAAGGAGCCGCTGGAAAGTTTGGCCAGAGAGTAGGCATGATCTGGCTTTCATTTTATGGGGAATTTTCTGGTTACTATGTTAAAAATAGACTGGAGTGGGGGTAAGATGGACAAAGGTAGAATGAAGGAGACCAGTCACAAGAATGCTGCTGTTGCCCAGACAGGAAATTATCTATCTTGAAGATGATAGAAGTAAATTGTTGTGAGGTGTTTAATTTTGGATGCAGTGTGAACATAGACCCAATAAGAGTTTAAAGTGTTATGGAAAAGGGGGAATAAAAAATGATTCCATGGTATTTGACTTAGTAACTGCAAGAATAATTTTTTTAGCCATCCCACTTCTACTCCCAGAGTTTGGTAATAGAGTAAACAAACCTTGTTTTATTGGAGATTCTGCTCTCTCTTCAAGGTCTTTGAGAAAACCCTGGAAATACAAGGTAATTATTAGGTATACTAAGTTGGCACATGTATCTTAATATTTCTTCTTGTTCTAACTCTGATGAATTTCTCCAGCATGTTCTATAATTATTTAGAAACACAGTAAACATAGACATAACCACAGTAAAATAAAATCTCAAAACTCATCCTGAATTTGTTTCCCAACAGGTTCTCTGACTCTGAAAACACATCATGTTCAAGATTCTAAAATGGGATTTGTGATCAATGCCATCTACTCCATGGCCTATGGACTCCACAACATGCAGATGTCCCTCTGCCCTGGTTACGCTGGCCTCTGTGATGCAATGAAACCAATTGATGGACGTAAACTTTTGGAATCCCTGATGAAAACAAATTTTACTGGGGTTTCTGGAGATATGATCCTATTCGATGAGAATGGAGACTCTCCAGGAAGGTATTTACCATTTTCCTCTAAACAATACATCCTGCATAGCAGCCATCTCTTGTTCCTGAGGTGCCTGCCCCCTCCTTTGTAGTTATCTAGTCTTTCTAATCATGTTTGGCTAGTTCAGATACCACAAGTACGCTAAGAGAGAAGTGGAAGCCTCATTTGTTATGACTGGGAAAATAAGTGATGATAATGTCAAAACAAGTTCTTGGAATCATTACCAAATTTCAGAGCATCACATTATTATAGATAATCAAAAGTCAGCTTTGTGTTTTCTCTACATATTTTCCATTTTATTCTCTGTGCTCTGATCACTTCTTGGGTATAGAACTATAATAAAACAGAAACAATTAAACTTCTGACACTTCAGAAATGGGACTGAGGTGCTTTTATATTGTTTTCTGTAACTATAGTAAATTTTAAGTCATATTTTATTGTAATATCTTCTAGCTGGAGCATTTTCTCCTTTCTGAAGGTCTTTTTGCTGAAATTTCACTTTTTGTTATTTACAGAGAGAAATATGAACTTTATCATAATTATAGGTTAACCTCCAGGGACAGTCAGTAGGTATCCAGAACACACCCAAGTTCACATCTATTTCATACTCCAAGTTGTCAAATCACTCTACTCATGGGACTTTTAATCTATGAGTAATACTGTCATTAAAAAGATATTCTCAGCTGTAAAGGGCTGAGTCCTTTCCTCCTCTATCAGAAAACCAAGGTCCTTTTGTCTCCCACTATAAAATCCCAAGTACTCTTCCAGCAACAGGTGGGTCCCTCCGTGACTGGATCCTCATGTATCTGGCAGTCACCCTGGCCCACTTGTTTTCATATTCCTGAGGTGAGTTAGAGCTTGTCCCTGATACAGTTGTTACCATCTCACATTCTGGGTTTCTAGGTGACAATAGTTTCCAGTCATGTAAGAGGAAAGTTGGATATTTCATATTTTTAGATAGCTAAAGATTATTGATCTAGGTAGGCCTTTTGCCATATTAAACTGACTTTTTATGTGATATTCACATATTTAGCAATTTGGTATATTGAGGAGTTGGAATCATTTTCCTGGAGCCAAAGAATTTTCACATTTTTTTCTGAGACATTTTGGGGGGGCAGGGTAAACAAAGAACTATCACTTGGGGCTCAGGTAGAGGTCTGTGTTCTGATATCTGCACATGGGAAAAATAAATCCATGTGCACGTGAGAACTGACATCAGTTCAGGACTTGTTCATATAATTTGATGACTCCAGATCCACCATCTCAAAGAGTTTTCATGACGTGTGCCCCAAGCCAGTTCTGTAAATCAGGTAGTAAAAATAATAATAATAATAATAATGTTTCAGACGGTTCAACTCTATTCTAATGGGAAACTTAATGAATAAGACAAAACATCACTGCCTCATTCATAATCCTCCAAATATGATCAAATGTGAATACTTTTAGAACATTGAGTCTTTCTGTTCGAACATGAATCTCAATAATAATGAGATGAAACGCAGTGATATTTTCTCAAGGACATTGTATTTACATTTGTATTCGAATAATTTCTGTTTAGAGACTTTCTATACATTACTGATGTTGGTTATTATATTAAACCTTTAATAAATGATCAGAAATGGCCTCTAAGGGCATGACACAATCTAAACAAAAGACAATTTGCAATCTTTTGTTTTTCCAACTAAACAAGTTATATTTACAAACTTATAATTGACATTTAGTGAGTATATGTTCTGAGTCAAACACTAAGTTAAATCTTTTGTGTTTTAATCCTATGAGGTACTTTTCATATTCTTTTCCTTTCTTGCTCTAGGTTCACACTGACTTAGAAAAGTTAAATGACTTGCCCAAAGAGACAATCTAATAAATGATAGATGGAAAATTCTAACTCATTTCCCTAGGCTTCACCTTGTAACTGTATGTGTTCTCACTATGTAATGGCATTATAGCTTGTCATTTAATCAGCCAGGTTCAACACCTAAAAGCCACTAACTTCTGAGAGATTATTTGTAGGCATTTTGTTGTTATTTCTATGAGTGGCAGTTATAAATCTTCTAAATCAAAATATTCCAAACCAAGCAATAAAACAGAGGAGACTGGGGTGATTGATCTTTTAAAATTCTAGAGTCACAGGGGGAACATTCTAAAGAGAGGGAGCTGGGAGAAGTTGCAGATAACTTTGGAACTGGGCCTCCCCTTGTGGTGCAGCAGGTTGAGCACAGCCCTGTGAAGCTGCCCACAGCCTCAGCAGCACAGATTCGATTCCCAGCCAGCAAGGGAGAGGCCCATATGGCACACAGACCTCTCCTGCCGCCCGCTGCTCCCCTCAGCAGTGTGCTTCAGTCCTTCTGCCTGCTCTGCTCCCTGCTCTGTCTCTGGTGAATTCTCTCACCCTCCCGTGCCTCTGGCCTATACCCCAGTTCTTGTATAAAATAAATCTTAAAAGAAAACAAAGTTTGGAACATATCCTTGTGAACTGTTGAAGAGTAAGTTTTACACAGTGTTTTTAAACTTTACATCTAATTTGACTACTATCAGTTCACAAACCTTTAATGAGAACTTCATGCCAGTTGTGTCACAAAAGGCAGATTTTTTTTTTTTAATTTGCTGTGAAATAATGCCCCCAGCATATTGCCAAGCAGAAGTTCTTAATCAATGCCTTAATATTTCTACAACAAAGCATATGACTATTCATATGAATTATGACAAATGGCCATAGCAGGGTGGGTTACCTTTTTTTTTTTTTTTTAAAGATTTATTTATTTATACAAGCACTGGGTACAGTCAGAAGCATGGGAGGGTGAGAGAATTCACCAGAGCCAGAGCGGGGAACAGAACAGGCAGACTGGCTGAGGGGAGCAGTGGGCGACAGGAGAGGTCTGCGTGCCATGTGGGACGCTCGCCAGTGGCCAGGGATGAAACCGGCGTTGCAGAGGCTGCGGGCAGCTTCTCAGCCCATGGCTCAACTGCTGCGCCACCGGGAAGGCCCTGGGATAACTTTTATCACTAGGTAAATTCAGACTGGGTCATGCTTTGGTGCCACATGAGTTATTAAAAAAAAAAGTGCATGGTTTTTAAAACTCTAAGAATTTCACAATTTGGGCCTCCCCTGGTGGCGCAGGCGGTTGAGCGCTGCACTGTGAAGCTGTCTGCAGCCTCTGCAGCGCGGGTTCAATCCTAGCTGGCCAGGGAGAACCCCACATGGTGCAGCAGACCTCTCCTGTCTCGCCTTCTGCTCCCCTCAGCAGTGTATTTCGTCAGTCTGCCTGTTCCGTTCCCCGCTCTGCCTCTGGTGAGTCCTCTCACCCTCCCATGAATCTGGCCTGTACCCCGGTTCTCATATAAATAAATAAAATAAATCTTAAAAAAAAAGAATTTCACTATTTTTGGTCAGAAATATGAACCTTTTTGGGCTTCCCTATTGGCACAAGGGTTTAAGATGCAACCTATGAAGCTATCCCCAGCCTCTGCAGCAGGAGTTCTATCCCTGGCCATCCAGGAAGCTACACACATAGCACAGCAGACCTCTCCTGACTTGCCCACTGCTCCCCTCAGTAGTGTATTTCACTCAATCTGCCGGTTCTGTTCCCCAGTCTGTCTCTGATGAATCCTCTCACCCCCCCACACCTCTGGCCTGTACCCCAGTTCTTGTATGCATAAAGAAAGAAATCTTTAAAAAAGAAAGAAAGAAATATGAACCTTTATTATTTTCCTGTTCCCTTGCTGGCAAACAATGATCTGTGGACGAAATCATGTCTACTGTCTCTTCTTATAAATAAGGATTGTTGGAACACAGTCCCACTCATACAGTTAGATCCTGTCTATGTCTGCTTTCATACTATATGAGCATATTGAGTAGTTACAACAGAGACCATCTCAGAAAGCCTAAAAGCCTAAAATGTGTTCTCCCTGTCAGCAAGCAGCAAAACTTTTCTGAGCCATAGGAAAGAATCTCACAGGAGCTAAGGTTTAAGTGGTCTTCCCAGTGCTTGAACTGACGATAACTGGGCAGAGAAAAACATGGAGTGTCAATGTCAGACTAAGTACAAATAATTATTTAAAACAAAAATAAATAACATAATGTTGTAAGAAACATATGTATGAGATGCCAATTATCTGCTAATATGACATTAAGGAAAGGAACATAGAATTATACAAGGCAAATTGCTTGTATTTTACATTAAGTGACACAATGTTAACTTCAAGCAGAATAAAATGAATTAAAATGTACATTTAATTCTTGAGCAACTAATTTTCAATATAAGAAGAATAACTAAAAAGCCAATAGGAAAATACTTAAAACATGGTTAATCAAAGGGAAAAAAAGGTAAGAAAAGAAGAATAGATGAACAATAACAAGTGTGATAAACAGAAAATTAGGTTAGAACACACAAAATTTGAAGATAATGAGCTGACTTCTTCATACATAATTCTGCCCATGGAAGGAACATAAAGATGATATATTTCAACTGCTTGACTTTCTGGGGAGAAATTAACTCTCAAAGAAAGGAAAAGACATGTCTGAGGTGACAGAGTCAATTAAAAATAGAAGAAGGACAATGTAGAGCTGTCAGGCACAATACACAAATGGAAGAAATTGAGTTTTATATTTCATTTTCCTTATCATACATTTTAAATAGTCTGATATATGTGATAGAAAAGTTTCAATAGTTTGTTGCATGGATCAGAGTTTGGAGTGTCTATTTTGTTGATTCACAATTTATCACATTTCAGAATTCAACTTATAAACAGTCACTGACATCAGAATTGTAAACGGAGAGGACAAAAGGAACCATAAATAAAATACTCTCTGCAGTGTCCTCCTTCAAATAAGTTTCAGTTCAACTGACAGCACACTTGGTCTGCCCCTAGGAAAGAGAGCCTCACTGTCTTAGGAGGAAACCTGCTCTAATTTTCATAGAATTGAGTTCTGCCTCCCCCTAGTTTCTACTTACTACTTTAATAGAATTTATTTTTTTTCTTTTTAGTTAGAACATATTTTATCTGTTTTATTTTAATACACAACTTCATTTTTCCGGGTTTTTGGCATATTTCAAGTGTAAATTGTGAGAAGACAAGGAAGAGAGATATGGGAGGCAGAGAGAGTGGAGAAAGAAGGAGCGGAACTGGGGTACAAGACAAAGGTGTGGAGCGGGGGTAGGGGTGAGAGGATTCACCAGAGAGAGTGGGGAGCAGAACAGGCAAATTCACTGAAACACACTGCTGAGGGGAGCAACTAATGAGGCAGAAGAGGTCTGCCATGCCCTGTGTGTATCTCCCTGGTCTGCTGCTCCATGAGAGTTGCTCCCTGGCCGGCCTGGAATTGAACGTGTGCTGCAGTGGCCAGCAACACCTTGACAGCACTGTCTTTAACCCCCATGCCACTAGGGAGGCCCAGAAGGACAGATATTAAAGAAGACATTAACCATCTAACATACAGTAATTTTAAGAACACAGAGGAAGGGAATTTTAATAACACAGGGAGGGAGAATATTAAATGATGGCTAACAATTTCAGGAAGCTATTAATTTTTAAATTGTTACTTTATTTTTTAAATATTTATTTATTATTTATGCATACAAGAACTGGGGTATAGGCCAGAGGTGGGGGGGGGGTGAGAAGATTCACCAGAGACAGAGTGGAGAACAGAAGAGGCAGACTGACTGAAATACACTGCTGAGGGGAGCAGCAGGCGAGACAGGAGAGGTCTGCTGTGCCATGTGGGTATCTCCCTGGCCAGGGATTGAACTCATGCTGCAGTGACTGCAGATAGCTTCATAGGTTGCATCTTAACCCCTTGCACCACCAGGGTGGCCCTAAATTGTTACTTTAAATTAGAGTATTTTTCAAATACTCATTTTCTCTCATATTTGGTGGAGAATAAAATCTGTATCCCATCTCTGATAATTAAAAGAACTCAAGCCAAACACTTTATGAAGAATTATTCTCATCTAGTTCTTTTTCAGATGTACAGCAACCAATAATGTTGCAACAAAGTGATATTTTCAGAACCATAAGCATTGTTACTAATATCCTTATGCTTATCTTGTAGATAAGAAACAATTGCCAGTACTCTAAATGTTAATTCCAAGGGAATGGTTCACTAACTCTCAAATAATTACAGCCAATTGATGGCTATGAAAAAAAAAATAATAATAATAAGATTTCAGTTTCCTTGAATCCCTTTCCTATCAAATATAACTTTTCCAGTCTATAAGATTCATGTTTATTTTTCAAAAATTAGATTCTTTTACTTTTTACCACTTCTGCTATATAAAACATAAAAGAGAACATGATCTAGAGATAAGAGATTTGAATATATAGAGTAATTCAAATAACCACAGTCTTGCTGCAATAGAAAATTGGAAATCTTAACTGTTTTGGATAAATTTGGAGCAGTGTAATGGAGAAGAGTAACAAACAGACTTGAGGACTGACTTCCACTCTTGGCTTTGCCACTTGTATACTTTGCAGTTTGTTCATACTCATTTGCCTCCCCACATTCAATTTCATTATCTATAAAATCAGCATTTTGGACCAGACATTTTCTGAGTTAAGAATCGCTGGAAATGAGGTTGATGTCTCATTTTGGGATGAAGAATGAAACCTTCCTATCCAAATTGGTAGCAGCCTAGAATGGCCAGGGGTTATTTGTTCACATTTCAAACTCTTGTAAGCCCATGTGTTTGAAGGAGCCAGTGAATTAATATAGAAGTTATTTTTACTAAGTGTTTTGTGCACTAACATCTCAACTCATTGTATGCTGAGTAGACATGGGATTACTAAGGTAGGACTTGTTTCTTTTTTTTTATTTTATTTTATAGATTGGTACTTTTGATTTGGTAGTGGAATTTAGATAGTTATTCGAAATTGCTACTAAAAATAAAACACTGTAGGATAACCCTAAGGCCGCAGAAAAACTGACAAGGTTTAAGAATGAGCTGACCTTCTTAAGAAGATGATGCTGTGAAAAATGTGATTGGAAAAAACGTAGAAGTAAAAGTAGAGTAATTAATTTGGAAGTAAAAGTAGAAAAGTGTCCTTCTGCAATATAGATCCAAACAGATTGTGGTCAGCTTTGCGCTCAGCATTTCTGTATTGAGCATTGGGATGAGTGTAGTAAAATGGTCTCTTAAACCCACAAGCTAGAGAGTTTTCCATCCATGTCAGTTTCTACTCAGCTAAATATGCTGAGCAAGGGAAGTTGGGAAGACATTTATAAAATCCCATCTGCCAGTCATCTAAGTCCTGGGTACTATGTGAGGCCATTGTATGGAAGACTTAATCTGTAGGGACTGGCATGATGGTGGTATTCCTCATCAAAGCCCTCAGATTGGAAAATTATTTCAGCAAAGCTTTTCTGGGGCAATTCTTATATATAATAAAAAGCTTGTGAATAAACACTTTAGTTTTTCTTTTCTGTATCTGTATCCCCATACTCAAAAGAAGAATAATGTCTAATAAAGATTAAGAAATAATGAATTGCTTATTAGTCTTTTCCAGCACTTGTAACTTGCAACAGATGTTTTAGAAGCTATTTTCTGACTTACTTTAAATATCACACCAGAAAGTATCTTCATACAATGAAGTTAGCCATTGATAAAAGATAAGCTATAAAAGGTAAAATCACCCCTATCCAAATTAAGCCATTGATAAAAGACAAACTATAAAAGGTAAAATCATGCCTATCCAAAGTACTCCCCAAAACTGAAGATAAGATTAAAGGTTTACCAAATTTTCACACCGTTACCAAAGGGAAATTTTATCATTTTACCTGAGTGGAGATAAAAACATTTCTCTTTTTTAAAAGCCCAACATAGTATTTGTTTAAACTCCTTGAACTTATTTTAAAACTAACTTTCATCTTGCTGCTGAGTTAAATTCACTTTCTCACGTGGGATTATTTTTTATTTCAGGCATAAGCATGCAAATTTAAAAAAAAGAGGAAAATAAAAGAAAAAACAAAATGGCCTGAAAAGAAAATGAATGCATTTTGTTGTTGTTGTTATTCTAAGTGTATGTGAAGTGAAGATTCCATGACAGTAGATGCATATTGAAGGAATGAATTAAATCTATTGCTTCTTCATAGTATAATATTTATATTCTTGGCTAAATAATCATTATATTCTTGTTCTTAAGGTATGAAATAATGAATTTCAAGGAAATGGGAAAAGATTATTTTGATTATATAAATGTTGGAAGCTGGGACAATGGAGAATTAAAAATGGATGATGATGAAGTGTGGTCCAAGAAAAACAACATCATCAGATCTGTTTGCAGTGAACCATGTGAGAAAGGCCAGATTAAGGTAAAATGGAGTCAATTGTTTTTCATTTTTGTTTTAAATTCAAAAATATTTATTATCTCTGCTATTTTTTGAAATTTAGATATGTTTTACCTTTATCGTTATATGTGTATAATTTCAAAAATTATGTGTTTTCCTTTTTTATTATGTTTTTATAACATCTAGTATAAACCATAATAGTGTGAGGAGTTGGGCTAATTGAACCTACTTGAGTCATTTTTGTCTATACCCTTTCTACTCATGTAAGCCTTTAAACACTTGCTTTCTGGGAATAAATAATTCACAGCTGGGGATGACATTAATTTCTAATTAATATAACAAATATTTATCAAGTTACTAATACTGTAGCAGTTTATATTAATGGGGCAAAAATAAGTAAGTGACCCTTCAGTGTCGGAAGATTTACAGTCTAGAGATGGAAAAATACGGTCACTAATAACTAAAATCAAGTAAGCTGTGAATTTTTCATTAAGAAAAATTTATGTAAATTCATACCAAAGAAAGATTATTTCTGAATAAAATGTCAGAATTTGGACAATGAAGGATGGATATGATTTCAGATAGTGGCATGGGAAAATGATCACATATGTAGAGAGAACAGTCGCAGGAACGATACTGAAGTGACCAAGTGAAGACTGTCATGGAATAATAGTTAATCACCCAGGATTCATAGTGCTCTAAATGGCTAGCATAAAAAGAAAATTGAAATGATATGTTGAAATTGTATTTGTGGAGAGTTTTGAATGTCATTAAATAAGTTGATCTTAATTTTTATTAACCAGGAATCTGAGAATAATTTTCATGTAGATATTGACATAAGTTGAGCTACAATAGAGGCAAATTTGTGAGTAGAATTATGAAATGTGAATATAGAAAGATCCGAAGAAGACGTGCATGGTCAATAGGCACATGAAAAGATGGATCATCATCTCTTATTCAGGGAATGTGAATTCAAACAACTAGGAGATATTGCCTTACACCTGTGAGAATGGCTATTATTCAAAAGACAAGAAATACAGTGTCAGAGAGGATGTGGAGAAATGGGAGCCAATTGACAGATACTATTTAACTATAAAAATATATGAAATTCTGGCACAGCAGACCTTTCCTGTGAGCCCGCTGCTCCCCTCAGCAGTGTGTTTCAGTCAGTCTGCCTGTTCTGCTCCCTGCTCCATCCCTGTCATTGGTGAATCCTCTCACCCTCTCATGCCTCTGGCCTATACCCTGGTTCTTGTATAAATAAGTAAATAAATCTTTAAATATATATATATATATATATATATTTGAAATTCTGTCATTTGTCACAATATGGATAGATCTAGAGGACATCATACTTAATAAGTCATACTGTAAAGAGTAATCTGGCACATTGAAGACATGGTTAAGATACCTTTAGGTTAAGTAAGAACTTGTCACACTTATAAGAAATTTAAAAAGCCAGTGAAGAGAGGATGAAGTTATAATTAAAATAAAAAAAAAACAAAAACAAAGAGATAGCTGTGAGGGAACAATGTGTCTTAGGGGTAAAAGACATCAAAATAAGTTATTCATGAAACGGTTATTGATGTCCTCTATTACATTTCTAGTAGCCTAGACCTGGAACAGAGGACTTCGGTCTTTTCAACCAACATCACTTTCACTCTTCTTAGAACACATTAGAGGTGTTTGTTCATTGGTGATTAGGATTTAAAGGCATACATTTTTATGTATTTTATTATGCATTGGCAAGGTCTTCCAAGGGTAGTTCTGAAGATTTGGTAAACATAAGGCAGAAGGAAGTGGGCATGGTATAATAAGTTATTTTCAAAGAAGTGTGGACCTGTACTACTAAAAGACATACAGTGTTGAAAACCAGTAGTATCTCAATTAAAAATAATAATAATAAATGCTTTATTGCTAAGAAATGCTAACCAACAAAAATAAAGCAGAAGAAAAAGTAAATGAAGATAGGAATACATTTATCAATGCCTGCTAAATGGCTCGATTGCTTAAAGTGTATCTGAAAATTTCTGAATATTTTATTGTTATTTATAATAAGGATTAGAAAACTATGGCCGCCACAGTTCAAATCAAACTGCTTCTTGTTTTTATCAGTAAAGATTTACTGAAATGCTGCCATGATCACTTGCTTATGTATTGTCTATGGCTGCTTTCAAAAAAAAAAAAAAGAAAGAAAGAGAGAGAGAAACAGAGAGAAAGAAAGAAAGAAAGAAGGAAGGAAGGAGGGAGGGAGGGAGGGAGGGAGGGAGGGAGGGAGGGGAAGGAGGGAGGGAGGGAGGGAGGGAGGGAGGGAGGGAGGGAGGGAGGGAGGAGGGAGGAAGGAAGGAAGGAAGGAAGGAAGGAAGGAAGGAAGGAAGGAAGGAAGGAAGGAAGGAAGGAAGGAAAGAAAGAAAGAAAGAAAGAAAGAAAGAAAGAAAGAAAGAAAGAAAGAAAGAAAGAAAAGAAAGAAAGAAAGAAAGAAAGAAAGAAAGAAAGAAAGAAAGAAAGAAAGAAAGAAAGAAAGAAAGAAAGAAAGAAAGAAAGAAAGAAAGAAAGAAAGAAAGGAAATAGAGGTTTTTGTTTCTTTGTTCGTTCGTTCGTTTGTTTGTTTGTTTTCAATTTTTGTGTAGAAGCACTTATATATAGACCAGAAGTGCAGGAAGGGGGGTGAGAGGATTCACCAGAGACAGAGCAGGGAACAGAACAGGCGTATTTACCAAAATCCACTGCTGAGGGGAGGAGCGGGGAGACAGGAGAGGTCTGCTGCACCATGTGGTTTAGTGCCTGGCCAGGATCGACCTCGGGCAATAATGGTGATAGCTCTGAGCCTTAAGCCCTAGGCCACCAGGGAGGCCCCAAGAAAATACTTTAATTGTTGAGTTGCAATGACTGTCCTAGAAAGCCTAAAAGATTTACTATTGATATTTGGTCCTTTGTATAAAAAGTCTACAGACCTTTCACATACAGTACCAGTCTACTGCTGGACCAATCATCCTGCTGTTAAACTCTTCATGTGAAATTTGTTGTAGACTCACTTAAAATATTAATTGTTCATAATTCCAGCTCTTCTTATAGAAAGATGGCTTATGTAAATAATCACATAGAAGTCGATTGCAATACAATATGAACCTATAACTTCAAAATACCCAATGGCTGATTTGGGAGATTTATTTACATATAATTTCCCTGCCTTTTTAGTGGAAAAAAAAAAACATACACAGTGGAAGAATTTGATTCCCTATTATCATATTTTTAGTACTAGTTAATTGAAATGATATTGATTTAGGTTTTTTTTTAATAATACAAATTTCCATTTTCCTAACCATAAATCATCTTTGTAGTGGGGAGAAATGTCACAGTGATGCCACAGGTACTGGGAGTGAAAGAATTTGCAGAGACAGAGTGGAGAACAGAAATGGTGGATTTATGGAAATATACTGTTAAGAGAAGTAGTTGGTGAGGCAGGAAAGGTGTGCAGTAAGGAGACTCTTGTTTATATACAGTTTTTGCGGCTTTCTAACTTGGGGTGCCATTTTGCACTAGTTTTCTGCTGGGATGTCTCCTTTTGGGAGCTGACCTTCGGCACAGAAACATGTCCTCACCTCTGCTTCAATTGGGATTGTTTTTCTGGCCATGGTGGTTGGTCTTACCGTCTTGTCCCTAAGGGAACTTTACCAATTCCCTTCTCTATTTAAGCCTCCCAAATCTATCTGTTGGGCCAGGTATGGGGGCTTTGGTTTCAACCTTATTAAACTAGACCTGGACAATTTTTACTCTACTAAATATTCAATTGGCATTTTCTTAATATGATTTATGGAAGTGATGGAGCAAATTCATTAATGATAAAATCTCAAAGCATTGTTCAGGTTTGTTATCCTGTTGTTCCAAAGGTTAAAATATATTTCATACTGGTATTCATAAAAAAAAGGAACATTATTTCCAGTGTTCAAAAGAATGGGGATTGCTATGAAAGAATTGTCATTAAATATATATTTAAAATGAATGTGAAACAAAGCACAAGCAAAAATGGTAAAAAAAAAAAAAACAGTTGTCATTATCAGAAGACATATCAAGGTGTCATTGTTGATTCAAAAGATATAATATTGGTATTAAACTTGAAAAATGGCGTGCGTCTATCTTGGTAAAAAACCTGAAATTCAAAAAGCAATACTCACTATGCCTCAGTTTTTTCTCCTAGATAAAAAGAATAATAGCAGGGCTTCCCTGGTAGCACAGGGGTTAAATTCTCAGTGCTATCAAGCTATCGCCAGCCACTGCGGGATGAGTTCAATCCCTGGCCAAGGAGCTAACCCACATGGCGAGGCAGACCTTTCCTGCTCTCCTGTCTCCCCTGCTGCTCCCCTCAGAGTGTATTTCAGTCAGTCTGCCTGTTCTGCTCCCCACTCTGTCTCTGGTGAATCCTCTCACCCTCATACACATCTAGCCTACACCCTGTTCTTGTACGCATAAATAAATCTTTTTTAAAAAAGGAATAAAAGCAGCTACTGCATACACAGCTGTTTAAATGTTCTAATGAGATGAGAGCCTGTATACTACACTAAATAACAGGTTAAGAGCTGATATTATTGTTAAAAAAAAAAAAAAACTTAAGATAGACTAAGGAGTCTAATTAATGATTGTAGTGCCAGGAAGGGCACAAAGCTGGTTCTCTATGACCCGAGTAGATGGGTAAAGGCGTCCTGGAGCCCTCAGTGGCTTTCTCAGGCTTTTATTGAGCTTTGACATGTAGTGCAGCAACCACGTACATGGCTGGCAGGGGTGCTGGGGGGCCGGAGGCCGGCAGGCCCCCAAGCAGGCCCCAAGTCCCCAGCAAGTCTTCACTCCGGGTTTCTCTAGTGTTCTTTCTCCCCTTCTCTCTCCTGCCTCTCCTTCTCTTGGAGACTATCTCAATATTGCTGCATGGCCCACAGAAATAAATAACACAACTTATAATGATGTAACAACTGCAGGTGCCCCATCAGGCAGGGCGATCCTAATGGTGGGAGGGCAGAAAAGAATGTGAATCATTTACCCTACAATGATTTTGCCTCACATAGATAGTTATTTTAGGGAAAGACTGTTTCAGGCTCTTTTTGTCAACATTCCTTACTTATTTTGTTGTCATTTCAAGAGTTAATATGAGAAACATAGAAAATATTAAGAAAGATCTGCCAGGTTCTTTTGTATTTGGCTCTATATAATTATTGCCATCATCAGAGCTCTTTAATTGAGTCAGCAGTAAAGAGAAGGAATATAACCACTGTTATGTATGGTTATTGCTGACTATCAACCACAGTTTTAATTATTTATAAGAATGTTAATGAATGCTGTCTCTATTCAACAAAAGCAATTTATGTACCAGTGGTGAACAAAAAAAAAAAAAATCCATTTCTAAAGAATACCACGTGGGACTCTTTCAACTGTTAAAGTATTTTAATTATTTTCCATTGTCTTAAAAAGTCAAACAAATGAAGATGTACATGAGAGTCTTAATGACATTATCCACCTTCCTTTCAAGCAAATCAAAGGGACAAAGCGGGGAACAGAACAGGCAGACTGACTGAAATACACTGCTGAGGGGAGCAGCGGGCAAGGCAGGAGAGGTCTGCAGCACCATGTGGGTAGCTCCCTGGCCGGGGGTCAAACTCATGCTGCAGTGGCTGTGGACAGCTTCACAGGCTGTGTCCTAACCCCTTGTGCCACCAGGGAGGCCCAATCCCTAGTTATTTTTACCAATATGAATAGTTTTCTGCTGATATCTGATGTTTTCTGATAATTATTCAACTAATGGCAAGACACCAAGGTAAATTCAGAGAAGAAAAGTTCTTAATTTGTCAGAAAGAGAGGCATAGTTACTGGGGAAATTCAGTTATATACATACATATATAAATGTATGTGTATTAATGTCTGAGTATAAATATAGGTACTTTGAAGTACATATAACAGAGTTATTGAAATACACTGTTAAGAGAGGTAGCAGGTGAGACAGGAGAGGTGTGCAGGAAGGATTTGAGGCTCTCTTTTATATTCTGTTTGCATGGATTTTCTAACTTGGGGTGCCACTTTGCACCAGTTTTCTGTTGGGTTGTCTTGTTTAGGGTGCTGGCCTTTGACTCAGAAACATGCCCTGCCCTCTACATCTGCATCCAAAGTTTACTGTCTGAAGATTTGCATTTAATTTAATTCTAGACCCTGTCAATGACCAATTTTATGATGTTGGACTCCCACTTAACATCAGCCTCAGTTTCTTTAGTTACAAAGTGAGAATTTATTAAATATTTACTCTGTCTATCTGATAACATTTGAAATAATGTATGTGAAAGCCCTTTCTGCTTTGCAAAAAAATACATTTGAATAAAAGATTGCTGGACTTTCAACTTTGCAAAAAAAAAAAAAAAAAAAAGAGTAATCAAAATTTTATACACTTGCTGTAGGTTATCCGGAAGGGGGAAGTCAGCTGTTGCTGGACCTGCACCCCCTGCAAAGACAACGAGTATGTGTTCGATGAGTACACCTGCAAGGCCTGCCAGCTGGGGTCCTGGCCCGCGGATGACCTCACAGGTACATGTGTCACCCTGTCAGTTAGGGATGGCTCTGGAGAGCCAACTGAGGAAAGACACGGGCTGGGTTGGGGGGGTGGTCAGGGAGGCACAGCATCCAGCTCCAAAAAATTCAAACCTCGCTGGTCTTGTTTATGTAACAAAGAGTTTCATTAACAACAGAAATCTTCACAACTCCTGATTAACCTTAAAAATCTCTTGAGCTCATGAAAATATCATTCTATCTTATGCCCCGTACACTCAAACTAGATTTCTAGATTTCCTAGTGGATTTCTCATCCCATCGTTAGTATTAAGAAAATAATAAGTCCTACACAGAGTCTCAGATGACTGTGACATGTGTGGTCGACAGAGAGGGATATTAGACAGGAAGAGACTAAAATATGACATATCCAAGAGCAAAAAGTTTGCATAGAATGTGGTAGAAATTGGTCTGAACTTATTTGTTTAGAAGTTTGTCCTTAATCTAAAACAGGAACCTCTAACTAATGAGTTTTCAAGTAATGTGAGCACAAGATTAGACTTGCCTTTGATTGTTTGTTTTAGGATTTGTATTATTTTAGTTTTGAAGGGGTGGTTTCCTCTAAAAATTAAAGAAATATGTCATTGTGTTCTCAAGATTATATTTCTAACTCTAATTTTTACAATATGAAAACAGAAAATTATACATTTCAGACCCCCTTTTATTTATTAAATATTTTATATAGCTATTTGTTTACTGAAATAAGGCTATCTAAGCCAAGATTATCTTAAAGAAGTTAATGAGGAAAGTAAAGTGGTGAAAATATGATGATTACAATATAATAAAGGAACAAATTTGTGGAATTGGAGTGAGTATTAAGAGGGGACTTATGAGAATGATTTGCGAGACAAAAGCATCCCAGGCAGATGGCCCTCCAGGTGGTGGGTCAGGTCATCTAGTGGTTTTACAGTTAAGTTGGATTTAGCACAAAACTCTTAGAGGGCAGAGTATATCATCAGTGCAATTCTCCATCCCTCACAGGACTACAGGTTATCCCTGGCAGTTGTGTTAGTTTATTCCAAAAGCTCGGTTAAAAAATCCTGTGATCCTGGGACTTTTGGGAGCAGCTCACATTAAGACTTTGTTTTCAGTAATTGGTATTTATGCAGAAGACTTTTCTTTTGCTAAAATTTTTAAAATTCTAGTGAGAACGAAGCTAAGTTAAACACGCCAGGAGAAATACAAATACCAGATGATTCCATTTATATGTGGAATATAAGAACACAAAATAAAGGGTCATACAAAACCAAACCAATAACCAGCTCTTGATATCTGACTATGAAACTGAGACAGCTAGAAGAGGAGAATGGCGGGGAGGTAGTGGGGAGGGAGTGGGGAGGTAGAGGCCCAGTGTAGATGGTGGAGGGTGACTGGGGCTTGGGTCATTCCATGCCTGGGCATAGTACAGAAACATACAATTGTAGAGGTTTGAGCCTATAACCCCTAAAACAAAATACAATGATCTAAATAAATATTATCTCAATAAACATAATTGGAAAAATATTTTAAATACATATATATATATATATATATATATATAAAGATAAAATACCCAAGAGTCTTGTGGTAGTATTTTAGCCTTGTTTTCACCATGAGACAATGAACTTCCTGATGCCTTTATGTATCCCGGTATCCCTACTCTGTGCTGAACAAAAACTTCAATAATTATTTGAATAGATTAACTACAGCATGCAGGCATGTGCACATATATACACACACAGAGTAAATATGCCATAAAGAAAAAATTTACATATATGAGTAATAGTTGTATCAGTTGGTTGTGTTGCAGAAATAAGTTCTAACCTTTTACCCAGGCAGGGGAAGAACAAGCAGTACTTTAGGAATGGTGAGGTCAGGATGCTTTATTACTCATGCATGAGATCTCAGACCTGGGTAGTCCCATAAGGCCTGAGCACTGGACTAGAGACAAAGAGTTTCTTTTATACACAACCACTTTACGTTGATAAAGTTGGTTAGTTAGCATACACATTCTTTTTTTTTTAAAGATTTATTTATTTATTTGTTTGTTTATTTGTTTATTTATTTATACAAGCACTGGGAACAGTCAGAAGGGCAGAAGGGTGAGAGAATTCACCAGAGCCAGACCGGGGAGCAGAGCAGGCAGAAGGACTGAAGTACACTGCTGAGGGGAGCAGCGGGCGGCAGGAGAGGTCTGCGCGCCCTCTGGGACCCTCCTCCGGTGGCCGGGGAGCAGCCGGGGATCAAACCGGTGCTGCAGAGGCTGCGGGCAGCTTTCAACCGGGCACTCAACCGCTGTGTCACCGGGGAGGCCCAGCTTACACATTCTTGACACAGGAAAAGGGGAAGGATACAGATCTTCCAGGATGGCCTGGGAGATCAATCAGCCTAGCAGGCTGCCAGACCTTGTTTAGATCTGCTTATTAAGGAAGCAAACTTATTATTTACTTTACATTTCCAGGTCTATGCCTCTTTAACAGGGAAATATTTCTTTCTCTCAGCAGTTCCCTTTCAGTTGTATTAGTGATTGTTTTCTTTATATTATTTAATTTTTTTAAATTTCAACCTGGATTATCATTTAATTGAATGATATCTATCTCACTTATCTTGCTAAGCACCATGAAAGTGAATATGTAGATATAAATTTCTGTCCTATGTTTTATAAAACAGAGGTGACAGGTTTATTATATTTGGATAATAAACTCAACAGAATGAATAAACACAATTTTATTTCTACTATTTGTATTTTAATAATAGGTGCTGAAGAAATTGATCTCTACACTATTTTTTCTCCATATTGTAGTTTGTTCCCTGTCTGGTCCTATCCTGTCCTGTCCTGTCCTATCCTGTCCTGTCCTGTCCTGTCCTGTCCTCTCCTCTCCTCTCCTCTCCTCTCCTCTCCTCTCCTCTCCTCTCCTCTCCTCTCTCCATATTTCAATAAGGCTACCAGAATTTTTACCTTGCAGCTTGGAGATATAAATGCATTCTTTCACAACATTTAATAGTTTGATTTTAGACAAGATCAATTTGAGTTGTCTTTGGGATTTTCAAATGTGAATTAATTAATTTAACAAATTAAGACCTTAGTTTGAGCCATAAAATGTAGTAGGGATTGAAAGTATAAAATATAGTCTAAGTTTCAAGGAAAATTAAGTGGTAGAAAAGTCTATAAGCAGGTAAGCACACAACGTACTGAATATTGTAGTAAGGAAAGACCAGAGTATTACTGAAAAATGGAAGAGGGCATGCCTAACCTTGAAGAATTCAGAAAACTTTTAATCCTAAGGCATGATCTTGAAGCTCAATTAAAAAAAAAAAATAGTAAAGAATGGGGCCTCCCTGGTATCCTAGGGGTTAAGTCTCAGCTCTATCAGTCTACCACCAGGATGGCTTGAGTTCAATCCCCAGCAGGGGAGCTAACTCACATGGTACAGCACACCTGTCTTGTTTCACCCACTGCTCCCCTCAGCAGTGTATTTCAGTAGATCTGCCTACTCTGCTCCCCACTCTGTCTCTGGTGAATCCTCTCACTTGCCCCTCTGCCCTGCACCCCAGTTCTTCTATGCAAAAACAAATAAAATCTTTAAAAAATGGTGAAGAATTTTGATTTGTACGGGGCAGGGGGTGGTAGGAGGGATTACAGTCAAAATAAGGGGGGTGGAAATTGTTAAATGGTGAAGATTATATTAGAAGAGTGTATGGCACGAGGGTTATTAATGACACCATCATTCTCTGAGTTACCTTAACCAAAAATAAGTGAAATATCCTAGATTCTTCTCTATTCCTAGACACCCATGTCCAGTCACTAAAAGAATGCATTTATATCTCCAAGCTGCAAGTATAACTATTTTAATTGTGAAGTATTATTATTCCCTCTCTTCTTCACCATTTGTACTATACATCCCTTGACTATCTTCTCATCATCTTACATTTGACAGTAATTTCCCAACTTATTTCCCTGTTCCCATATCTATGCCACATGTCTCTGTGTCCACTTTTCATCCTGGATAATATATATCCAAAATACAGGTTTGTCCTTTTTAGTTCATTGGTCAGTCCTTACCAGTTAATATCTTTATAGGCTCTACTCCAAGCTTTTCAACATAGCATACAAAATTCCCTCTGCATCCCCTGTGATTTTCCAGTTTCAATTTCCACCCCTTTACAACTCTCATTTTACATTCAAATGTCAAGATGCTTATAATTCTCATATGCACTCAATGCTATTTTGTCCCTCCCTGTCCATATATGTTATTATCTTTGTCTGGAATGTACTTATGGTCCTTCTTTACTTGAATAAGTCCTACTCATTCTCCCTTCCCCTATTCAGATGGTATCTTCTCTTAGAAATCTTCTTTGACAGACTACTAAGTCCTTTATTCTGCATTTCTAAAGAAAATTTGGCCTTCCCTTTCAATCATTTTCATGCTGGATTTTAATGACTGATATCCTTATCTGCCTCCCCTAACTAAGTAATTATTTTAAGGACATAATTGTATCTCAATCATATTTTCTTTTCTAGCATCTATCATAATGCCTTACATAGAATGGGCACTTACTAAACATGTGTCAACCAGTAAAATTATGGGTATTATTACATATGAAGATAATGGTAGGCATTAGGGCAATGCTAAGAGAGCCTTTAAATGAGGAGTTTCAACTTCATCCTGTGACAATGTAGGGCAGTAGAGATTTTGAAGTAGAGGAGTGAAATCATCATCCTCTGGTTATATGCCACACACATGATTGTGTACATGAGGATGTGGGCGTTGGAAGGGCAGAGAAGAGGGAGGGAAGACACATGCCAAACCTAGAAAGGTCTAAAATTAATAACATGTGAAGTTTAACTTCTAATTGAGACCCTATAGCTTTTCTGCAAGCTTATCTCACTGACTTGATTCAAAAATACAAATCACATGGAGCTGCTAGCTAAGACTGTTCTGATGACTTTAACTATTCCAAAATCTGTCCCAGAAATTCTTGGAACTAGTTTCAGGGAAT